CCAAAGAAACACAGGTCCCATGATTTCCCTTATTTGCAATATCTAGTATATGTATGAGTCAAGCCGAAAAGGTCAGATAATGTGATGTTGGGAAAATGAACCCTTAGATATGTATTTAAATGTTTTTTTTTCTTTCATGCATTTGTTTCTAATGCATTTATAAGATTATTTCTTTGTTGCTTTGTATGTCCCTCCCCCACAGTATAACCCCTGCTTTCACTATATTTGATGTCGGTATAATTTGTGGAGGAGAAGGGGAAAAACAAGTTGTTTAAGGATACAGGTGGACCCCTTGCAACAATGAGAAGTACAAGTTGTCATGTGGAAAACGAACTTTACAACTTTGGTGGGTGGGGGGGAGGATTGGGTGAAGGGGCAGTGGAGGGGGGGGTGAGGGGTGGGGGGGAGGCTGGGAAGGGATGTGAAGGGTAAACAAAGGCTGCAATGCTTGATAAGAAATGTACTCATTATCTTGCCCATGTAATTGTAACCCCTCTGTACAGTATGTTCACAATAAAAAAAAATAATAAAGAATTTAAAAATCTGAAAAAAAAGAACATAACCTGTCGCTGACCTACCCAAAAAAGGGTATCTCCATTATCTCCATTACACCTAGTTATTAAAATTCTTAGGATGTTTCACTTATGTTCAGAGAATGGAGGACCAAATAATCTCAGATCTGTATCATTTGTTTATAATACAAGTGACATGTGAATTTACGTGCAATATTTTGGTAAAAGTAATGAGCTTGGTTATATGTGTATTTATCCTGTATGTCAATATTGTTCTCAAAAAGAATCAGGTTTAAGATTAGCATTTAAGGACTCTAGGCAGAAAATGCAATAAGCTGCTCATCAAATCAATGGCAAGCCAAGAAGGTAATACCTAAAGGACACCTTCTCTCACAACCCAGCTTGTAGATAAGGGTGGGGGAGGGACTGTCAAAGTTGTGTGGCTTCCAGTGGAATGCAGTATTCACTCATAATCCCTGTCCTGGGGCATATAAATACATAGAATTTATTCTGATAAAGAGAAGAATCAGTTCTTTAACTAAGTAATAAAGGGACACGTGAGTTTCATCTTAAACCTCAGCAAGAAAGTCAATGGATAAACAGCCATTATATTTTTGCTTTCTGTGTACCTCTAAAGAATCAAACAAATAAAAAATGCACTTGGAAGCTGTCTGCTCATATCCTGCATTCTCTATCTTGTTTGACAGAACAAAAACTCCTCACAGGCACAACTATTCTTCCGCTCAAAATCTGAATGTTGAACACCATAAATCCGTAGTGAAAGTTCAAGAGAAAAAGTTTGTATAAAGTTGGAATTCCTTGCCAGGAGCTGGTGACTCATGCCTGCAATCCCATTTACTCAGAAGGCTGAGATCTGAAGATTGTAGTTCAAAGCCAGCTGAAGACTCTTATCCCCAATTAACCACCAAAAATTCAGAAGTGGAACTGTGGCTCAAGTGGTAGAGTGTCAGCCTTGAATGGAAAAGCTAAGGGACAGTGCCCAAGAGCTGGGTTCAAGTTCCAGTACCAAAACACACACACACACACACACACACACACACACACTCACACACACACACACACACAGAAAAGAAAAAGCAAGGGTCATTGTTCAACTCACATTTAACTTCTATATTGTTCAACTCAGTACCTATCTTCTATATAGTGCATAATCAAAAAGTATTTATAATGTTGAGATACAGTTGACTAAATAATAGTATCCTAAAGCTTTCTTTCCTTAAGCACTTGCTAATCTGCCATGTGTCAATCCAGTTTCCTTTTTTTTCTTCAATTTTTTGGACTAATTTATTCAATAAATTTATTCTCCAGAAATCTTTTTTTTTTAATTGTGAAAATACGGTACAGAGGGGTTACAATTACATGGGCAAGGTAATGAGTACATTTCTTATCAAGCATTGTAGCCTCCTCCTTTGTTTCCCCTCCCATCCCTTCCCATCTCCCACCCCCCCTACCCCCCACTCCCCCCCAACCCCTAGTTTCCCTTTCAATGGCTATGCACACATCTCCTGTTTTCCTCATCCCCACCTCCAGTGTGCACACACCTGCTCTCAGGAGGATTTCTTGGAACCTGGCCTCCCTGCAGAAGTCCTGCTGTGGATCATGAATGACTGCAACAATTATCCAGTCTTGGGACATTGACAGAAAACTCAGGATTTCTAAGTGTGCAGGGAAACTTTTGCACTTTCTTTTCTCTCCCTACAGGCATCAGCTTCTCTTTTCTGGACCCCTCATGGGTCTTGGACTAACACATACAATTTCATTTTCAGGATTACAAAAGACTGAGCTCCTAAGGAATAGGTCATTTGCACTTCCTTGTTTCCCTGCAGGCATTTGTTTTGTTCTGCTAAACCAAGAGTGAATTGGCAAACACCTGGAGACACAGGAGAGGAAATCCTGGGTATTGTCCAATGAGCAGATATATACTGCTATTTCAACCTAAATGCCAGTCAGTTGTGACAAAGATGATAATAAACTGAAGCATTGTTACCATTTATTATTGTGTTATTAAACTGTCAAGAATAGAATTACTTATACTTTTATGTGAAGAATGAAAGAGTCTGCTATTTTTAACTGTACATTCACATTCAAGAGCATTATATAATGTAGATTTTGTAAGCTTCCTAAAGTTTAGGAGTTAGTGGCTAGATTTTTTTTTCAGTTTTATATTTTACCTATAGGGTATTTTTTTACTCTTAAATTTATCTGTAGGGTATTTTCCTACTGTTTTATATTTTATTTGTGGAGTATTATTTTTAAAGTTCTATGAAAATGGCTCACTTTGGAAAGTAATATTTTGTTTTGCAGAGATGGAGGGAATGACTAAGAGAATGATGTAGGGTAACTCTTGACAGGAGGTATATTGTAAATGACTGTCTAGCTCAAAATAACCACTTAAACTACTTTCTTCCATAACAACAGCAAGGACCCACAAAGTTTTGGAATTCAGGATCTACCAAGCAAGTTTTCAGCTGTTATCAGTATGGCTCCAACAACAGTTAGAATAATTGAAATTCTGTCCCCTATAATAGACTCTACCCAGAGTCTCTTAGTCCCTGTCCTAACCTTGTCATGACCCAATAAAGAAAGGAGATTAACATGTGGCACCATAGGGGGGGGGGTTGGAGGATTCCCCTGGACCAGATAAACTCTGCCCATCACTATCAGGGAAGAGAGTTAAGTAGTCCAAACCTCTAGCCACTTTACCTTCTCCCTACTGAACCAAATCCTAGAAAGACATTAGAGTAAAGCTGGTCAGTTACGTTCCTTGAAAAAGAAAAAGAAAAATTTTAAGATGAGATTAAAAAATGTGATACACACACGCACACACACACACACACACTCACTTACACAATGGAATTCTATGCCTCCATCAGAAAGAATGACATTGCCCCATTTGTTAGGAAACAGAAAGACTTGGAAAAAATTATATTAAGTGAAGTAAGCCAGGCCCAAAAAAACATAGGTCCCATGGTTTCCCTTATTTGCAATAATTAGTATATGTCTGAGACAAGCAGAAATGGTCAGATAAGTTGATGTTAGGTGACATGAACCCCAAGATAAGGATTCAGATGGTTTTTCTTTCTTGCTATTGTTTCTAACATATTTATAAGATGATTTCTATGTTGCTTTGAATGTCCCTCCCCTATGGTATAACACCTGTTTTCACTGTATTTGATGTTGGTATAATTTGGGGAGAGGAAGGGGAAAAACCAAATTGTTTAAATAGGAATACAGGTGGACCCATTGCAACAATGAGATGTACAAGACGTTATGTCAAAAAACGAACTTTACAACTTTGGTGTGGTTCGGGGGCGGGGGGAGGGGGGGAGGGAAGGTGGAAGGGATGGTAAGGGGAAACAAAGGAGGAGTCCACAATGCTAGATAAGAAATGTACTCAATACCTTGCCCATGTAATTGTAACCTCTCTTTACGGTATTTTCACAATTTAAAAAAATGTGATAGAAATAGACAAGAAGAAAAAGCAGAGAGATCTGGTGTTTCAATAAAAAAGATTACACCACAAACACACAAAGGAAAATAGAAAAGCGAAAAGCATTGGAGGAAGAGCAATACACACACACACACACACACACACACACACACACACACACACACCACACACACACACACATATGCAGGATCAGGTTGGGAGAGAGACAGAAATAGACTGTCTTAGATGTCTGGCAATCACCCAGACCTTTGTTTGAGGATTGCTGCATTAATAGTTGTCATCATTTGTTGCTTTGGACTCAATTGTGTATGTCCTCACATTCACATTTTATGACTCTAATTCAAGAAGGGACCTTTAAAGAGGTAATTAAGGTCAAATGAGATGTTAATATGAAGTCCTAGTCTAAGAGGATGAGTGTCCTTCTAGGAAGAGAACAGCCACATAGAGGACAGATAACTGCAAGATGAAAAGAGAGGCCTCAGGAGAAAACAATTTTGCTGGAATTTTGATATTGGGTTTTTAGCCTCAAGAGCCATAAAAAAACACAAATTTTATATTGTTTAATCAGGCTAGTCTATGTTGCTATAGAAACTCAGATTAATACAGAAACTGTGGACTATTAGGATAAAAGGATAACATTAAAAAATCTCTACTCCCTTTCTGTACTGTGGTTATTGTACACATTCCAAAATGTGTACATTTTTATTCTAAAAATGAGCTCTACTATATTCCTGTAGACATTGGATTTTGTGTGTTTACATAATTCTAACTCTGGAGAATGTAGAGTTCAATGGCAAATTTAAACTGGCACTCTTGAAGTAATGTTTTTCAAGAATCATTCAACTGTGATAATGAATTCAAAATGCATTCTGTCACACTAGGTTTGGTTGTAATTGTTTTGAATACTCTGAGCCCCCCAGTCAAGTGTTTGAGGAAAGGCCTCTTTCTTAAAACTTATCAACATAGGCTCATTCTCAACTTAGCCTTCAGAAGAGATTCCATCCTAATTTACAAAGCAAATGTTACTTCAGACATATTTGTGAATTTGGTTATTAGATCATTCTGATCCTTGGGAAAAAAAAAAAAAGTTCCTGGGTTATATACATTTTAAGCAAGGTTTCTGTATTCAGACCTGCATTCCAGGCTTGTACTTTTTCACAGTATGTGAAGCTACTTCCTTCCTTTTTCTGTGTTCGTTTAGCTGACAGAGGCTGCAAGAAGGAAGCTCTGCTTGTCCAATTAGTCATGCCTACCCATGTTTGAATAAACGGTCTTGTCTACCAGAGTGCCCTCAACAGGAGTAGCTCTAATGACATCCTGAACAGGGTTCAGTGCTCAAATAGATATCCTGTGTGCCAGAGAAGTGCGATGTTGAATAAGTCTGTATTCTCCACACCAATGCAGTGGTGGATAAGTCTGTATTCCCCATAGGCCCAATTAATATAAATGAATAGAATTTGAGCTATTTAAAGAAAGAATTCCAAGATTTAGTATAAGAACCTAGTAAGCACCAAGATGATTAGTAAAATTATTTTACTAGGCTGTTATAACTCTGCCACATGAAAATGACTATTCACCTTTTAATCCTACCTCTATACTGGTTTAAATAATGTAATCTGACAATGAACCATTAGTTCACTGAGTCCAACTGGTTCAATGATAAAAATGAAGACGTAGACCCCCAAAGAGATGTGTGTCTCTTTTTACTTAGAACTTTGTTTCATATATTACTCCAGCTTAAATAATTACCAAACAATGAGTAATTGTATATACAATTACAATGTAATGAGAAATAACAAAAATAAAATATGCATCCTATACAATAGGTTATATTCTCATTTAAATGATACTGCAATGGGAATACAGAGTTTATCAACCAAATTTACCCCAGTTGTGTTTAGCAACACAATTTCCTGCTAACCCAAATTTCTCTGACACTGAAGTTTGTGCTCAATCCTCCTTCACAATACTGCCTGAAAGCATCCTTTGGATAGCAAAGTCTGAAGATCTAGATTCCATTACAGACTAAGCCTCAGGCACTTGACACAATAGGCATTCATCTTCTACAAACCTCATTGTCTTCATATTGGAAAATTCTTTCTATGAAGAAAATTTGGCTTGATGTCAACTTGCAGTCCTAGTATGGCATATTCTCAGAACCCTCAGACTTAGGTAATACTGGTCTTGCTGACAGAATTGGTTTATCACAGGTCTAACAAATTCACTCTGTTATTTCAAGTTAGGTGCACTAATTTGAAAGGTAAATGTATTATAGGCCAACTTGAGGGCCGAGAAATTGGGACTCATATTATAGAAGAGTCAGGTGCCAATGGTTCATGCCTGTAATCCTAGCTAATCAGGAGGCTTAGCTCTGAAGACGGCAGTTCAAATCCAGCTAAGATACAAAAGTCTGTGAGATTCTTATCTCCAACTTACTAGCAAAAAGTCAGAAGTAGAGGTATGGTTCAAATGATAGAGGGCCAGCCTTAAGCAGAAAAGCCAAGGGACAGTGCCTAGACCCTGAGTTCAAGCCCCAATACCTACCCAAACTGTTTTTAAAAAGCATACATTACATGTGTAATTGTGTGCTTAAAAAAATCCTTACATGTTATTGTCTTGTAGCACTGAAAATTGCCATCTATCACGTCACATCAAAGCTGCAATTAGTAACACACAGAGATCATCAGGAAAATGACAAGAAAAACTGTGCCGAGGCATCAGTAATCCATAATACTGGATTAATTGTGAAAAAGAATACAATCAAGAGAAAGGCTGTATCTTTGCCACTTAGGAACAGTTTCTATCATTGGGCAATTCATTGAACACAGCAAAAAATTTCCATCTTAATTTCTTAAGTCAAATGGTATATGTTCAAAGCCTGGCTTTATTAGTTAACATGAGCACATTCATCAACTTCCTGTGCCTCTGTTCCTTTCTCAACTGAGAGGCTACGCTTATTTCATAGAGGTGTCCAATACAGGATAGGAAATTGTGGGCACCAAATCAATATTCAGATTCTAGAAAGAAAGACTTAGAGGTGAAAGCTGAAGGATGAGGATGTAGGTATAGTGCAGTCAGTGTAAGACGTTCTCAACAAGGAAACAGGATAAGCTACTGCCAGGAAATAGAAAAGTAGAGACCTTATACTGTAATTAGTGAATAGTACCATTTTGAAGGAGGAGGAGGAATAATGAGAAGCCACAAGAGGAGCTGTTAAAAGCCTGAAGTACAACTTCTATTGTTGATGAAAAGTAACAGAAAAGCCCAAAAGTTAACATGAGAAATAATCAGTTAAAATGAGTGTTCTTTATGACACATCTATTAATATTTTATGTTCATATTCCAGAAAAAGCATACTGACTTTAACATAATTTGTTCTTGTGATTTAGATATTTAAACTTTTATTCTATTTCCAGAGACTTCTCTTTAATTATACTGTTTGCATTATATTATACCAACTTTCAAATTGGTCCGGGCTTCACCTTTTTTATCGTTTGTTGATATATACTGGATTAGCACCAATCCCTAAATCCCATTTCTGCCAGGAAGCCTTTGTTGATAATCTAGATCTTATGATTTCCTTCCAGTTCCACATCATCACTTATTCAGTCTCCCAAATACTAACTTGGAAAAACTGTGGGCTGGGAAGGTGGCTCAGTGGTAGAGTGTTTGCTTTGCATGCATGAGGCCCTGGGTTCAATTCCTCAGCACCATATAAGCAGAAGAAAAAAAAAAAATGGAAGTAGCGCTATGGCTCAAGGGGTAGAGTGCTAGCCTTGAGCTGAAGAGCTGAGGGACAGCACCCAGGCCCACAGTTCAGACCCACGACCAGACCCTCCCCCCAAAAAAAGAAAAAAAACTATAGCATAAAGTGACAGGCAATTCTTTCTTTTTTTTTTTTTTTTGTCAGTCGTGGGGCTTGAACTCTGGGCCTGGGCGCTGTCCCTCAGCTCTTCAGCTCAAGGCGAGCACTCTACCACTTGAGCTACAGCGCCACTTCCGGTTTTCTGGTGGTTTATTGGAGATAGGAGTCTCAAGGTCTTTTCTGCCCGGGCTGGCTTTGAACCGCGATCCTCAGATCTCAGCCTCCTGAGTAGCTAGGATTACAGGGGTGAGCCACCAGCGCCCGGCCTGGCAATTCTTTCTTATCATTCACTTCTGTAGTCAAACGAGGGACTGGTGGGAGGAGAGAGCTAAAGTCAATTTACAAGACTGTAATCCTAGATACTCGGGAGGCTGAGGTTTGAAGCAAGCCCTGGAGACTCTTTAATCTCCGATGAGCCACCCAAAAGCCAAAGTAGTAGTAGAGCACTTGCCTGAAGCACAAAAGTCATGCACAGTGCCCTGAGTTCCAACCCCAGGACTACTACTACTACTACTACTACCACACACACACACACACACACACACACACACACACACACAAATACCCAAAACAAAAAGCCTACTTTCACTTCATGGGCAATAGACTCCTGTATCAGAGTTCACAATAAAAATCAGAATCTAAATACAATATAAAAATAAATTCAATTAATGTATGCTCTAGTCACCGAGTGATTATTAATATTAAAATGTAGCCTGGCACCCAAAGCTCATGCCTGTTCTAACTACTCAGGTGTCTAAGATCTAAGGATCCAGAGATAGTTGTGATAGCAAAGTCCTTGAGAATGTTTATTTCCAATTAACCAGCATAAAGCTGAAACTGGAGCTGTGGCTCAAGTGGTACAGTGACATTATTTAGCTCAGAAGCTAAAGGACAGCACCCAGACACTGAGTTCAAGACCCACTATACACACACACACACACACACACACACACACACACACACACACACACACGAAGAGATCTTAATGTAAATGAAAAAAACCCACATGAATTATGAATACAATATGATAGATGCTTGTGTATGGAGAAAATAAAACTTAGATTTGCTATTTGTTATTTATAGGACACAACAGGATGAGGGTGAACAAGCAACCAGCAGAAGCTTCAGTTTGTCTTTTAGTTTTGGGTGCAAGTCCTGGTGCTCAGACTCAAGTCCTGGGTACCGTCCCTCTGCTCAAGGCTACCACTTGAGCCCACAGCTTCAGTTCCAACTTTCCTACCCTGCCTGGCTTGGAAATGCAAATCCTAAAATCTCAGCCTCTTGAGTAGCTAGGAGTACAGGTCTGTGCTTCTGGCGCCTAGCTGTTTCCTTCCTTTCTTTCTCCTTCCTTTTTTCCTTTCTTTCTTTCTTTCCTTTCTTTCTTTCTTAGCAAAAAAATTTACTTTATTTCCAAAAAGTAAAACTTGATGTCTAAAACTTATCTAAGAAGCGGGCAATTACGTTGTATTTTAAGGGATCTCAACTCTGCTGGAAAGTGAGTTGCCTTACAGCCTGGATTGTGACTTTAAATCCAGTTCAGCAATCCAGCTCCAGAGAGAAAATAGCCCACTGAGCCCTGGAGGCCCGGCTAAGGACAAGCCCGGGGCGGTTGGCGGTTTCCCGCCGGCGGACGGCAATCAAACCGTCGGTGACGTCAGGGGAGGACGACGCTCCCGGTTACCATGGTGAAGCCCCCGGCGGCCATGTTTACTGTGGTCAGCTAAAACGGAACCCCAGGTGGCGGTGCCGGTGGCGGAGGCGGCCGAGCGCTGCGAAGGCTGCAGAATAAGACACGGGAGAGGAATCTGAGTAAACAGTACTGCGGAGACGGAAGGACCATGGATGTTAGTTAGGGGTGTGTGTGCGTGCGTGTGTGTGTGGTGGGGGTGGGGGGTGCCAGCAGAGTTAGCGGAGGGGGGGGTGGGCGGGCTCAAGACGCGTTTCCTGTGGGGCGGCGGAACTCTTGAAGCGGAGCTCGCAGGTTTCCGTCCGGATTCCGGCAGCGGCTTCCGTCGCTCGGCGGAAGTGCGCGCGTGTCGGGGGGTCGCCGGAGGAACACGACGCTGGCAGAATCCCCCTCGCCGCCGCCGCGGCGTCCACGACCGGAATCATGTCGAGTTTGGCGGTGAGAGACCCCGCCATGGATCGATCCCTGCGTTCGGTGTTCGTGGGGAACATTCCGTACGAGGCAACCGAGGAGCAGCTGAAGGACATTTTCTCAGAGGTTGGTTCTGTGGTCAGTTTCCGGCTGGTGTACGACCGGGAGACGGGCAAGCCCAAGGGCTATGGGTTCTGCGAGTACCAGGACCAGGAGACCGCGCTCAGCGCCATGCGGAACCTCAACGGGCGGGAGTTCAGTGGGCGAGCGCTGCGGGTGGACAACGCCGCCAGCGAGAAGAATAAGGAGGAGTTAAAGAGCCTGGGGCCCGCGGCGCCCATTATTGACTCCCCCTATGGAGACCCCATCGATCCGGAAGACGCCCCGGAATCGATCACTAGAGCAGTCGCCAGTCTACCCCCGGAGCAGATGTTTGAGCTGATGAAGCAGATGAAACTGTGTGTCCAAAACAGCCACCAGGAAGCTCGGAACATGTTGCTTCAGAACCCACAACTGGCGTATGCGCTGCTGCAGGCCCAAGTCGTGATGAGAATCATGGATCCTGAGATTGCGCTGAAAATTCTGCATCGCAAGATACATGTCACACCACTGATCCCTGGCAAGTCTCAGGCTGGCTCTGTTCCTGGACCCGGGCCTGGACCTGGGCCTGCATCTGGACTCTGTCCAGGACCCAGTGTTATGTTAAACCAGCAGAATCCTCCAGCCCCTCAGCCTCAGCATTTGGCGAGAAGATCTGTGAAGGATATCCCGCCTTTGATGCAGACTCCTATTCAGGGTGGAATTCCAGCTCCAGGGCCAATGCCCACAGCAGTTCCTGGCCCAGGCCCCGGTTCCATAACTCCTGGAGGAGCAATGCAGCCCCAAGTTGGAATGCCGGGGGTGGGCCCAGTGCCTTTAGAGCGAGGACAAGTGCAGATGTCTGATCCTAGAGCTCCTATGCCTCGTGGACCCATGACTGCTGCTGGCCTGCCTCCTCGAGGACTGTTAGGAGATGCTCCAAATGACCCACGTGGAGGGACTTTGCTGTCTGTTACTGGAGAGGTAGAGCCCAGGGGCTATCTGGGCCCACCCCATCAAGGTCCCCCCATGCACCATGATAGTCGTGGCCCCTCTTCACATGATATGAGAGGAGGACCAATGGCAGATCCCCGAATGCTAATTGGAGAGCCGAGAGGACCCATGATAGATCAAAGAGGTCTACCTATGGATGGCAGAGGAGGTCGAGAATCTCGAGGGATGGAGACTCGAGCCATGGAGACTGAAGTCTTAGAAACTCGAGTAATGGAGAGAAGAGGAATGGACACTTGTGTGATGGAAGCCAGAGGAATGGAAGCCCGAGGCATGGATGCAAGAGGATTAGAGATGCGTGGCCCTGGCCCAAGTTCCAGAGGCCCTATGACTGGTGGAATCCAGGGTCCAGGTCCCATTAACCTTGGGGCAAGTGGGCCTCCAGGACCTAGACAGGTCCCAAGCATTTCAGGAGTAGGAAATCCTGGGGGTGGCATGCAGGGAGCAGGCATGCAGGGAGGAGCCATGCAGGGGGCAGGCATGCAAGGGGGAATGCAAGGAGGTATGCAGGGAGCAGGCATGCAGGGAGGAGGTATGCAGGGAGCAGGCATGCAGGGAGGAGGCATGCAGGGAGCAGGCATGCAGGGAGGAGGCATGCAGGGAGCAGGCATGCAGGGAGGAGGTATGCAGGGAGCAGGCATGCAGGGAGCTGGCATGCAGGGAGGAGGTATGCAGGGAGCAGGCATGCAGGGAGCAAGCAAGCAAGGTGGAGGCCAGCCGAACAGTTTTAGTCCTGGGCAGAGCCAGGTAACTCCACAGGATCAAGAAAAAGCAGCGTTGATCATGCAGGTTCTTCAGCTGACTGCAGATCAGATTGCCATGCTGCCTCCCGAGCAAAGGCAGAGTATCTTGATCTTAAAGGAACAAATCCAGAAATCCACTGGAGCCTCTTGAAAACTTGTAGTCTCAGTGTATTCTGTGGCACGTAGAATGGGTATATAAAGCCTTCTGCATCTCCACATGTAAACAATTGGGGTTTCATTATTCCTAAAGCCTGACTAGGTTTCTTGTCTTTTTATTTTCTGTTTTCCTTTTTTTTTTTTTTAATTGAGGGTAGGGGGAGGAGGGATTGAGTCTGTTCATTTTAAGTCGTTGATATATAAAAATCTGAAGATTATATTATACCACATAAGACAACAACCAATATACAGTGATAACAAACTGTCTACAGTATGTTAACTACACTTTAAAAACATAAACACTGAAAGATGACTTGTTAAAATGCTAAGATTTGAGTTTTTTTTTTTTCGGTTGTATAACAAAGTAAAATCACCTCAGAACTTTAAGATATTTTTTGGTAAACCAAACAACAGAGCTATGTATAATGCTAAACCCTGCTTTAATGGTTTTGGAAATAATTTGAAACAGCTTAACAGGATGTAGTTAAGTTTGTAGTATTAGAATTTTGTTTGTTTGTTTTTTAAAGCCGTGTCACCTGAAAAATCAAGGAATCCACCTAGTTAGATGTTGCTTTATCTGACTTTAGAGACTGGCAATATTTTGTACTGGCCTTGCCTGTGATGACTGCTGGGAAAGTTGAAGGAACAACCTGGTTACTTAAAGTCTCCGCTGATGAGACCCCAATGACTTCTTAATAACCTTCTCAAAGTCATTAAGCCCTAAATCTGAATGTAAGTAATTTTCTCATATCCTTCCCAAGAATCAGTGTGGAAGGACCATTTGGTTGGAATTAGTTGCACAGAGCATTGGACTTTGCATAAATAGTGGACCATTTCATTCAGTATAGATCCCAGTTTGTGGGTAACCAGCTTCCATATAAGGATGGTATCCATTTGGTTTAAAAAAAAAAATCAAGAGTTAAAAATATTACTCTTAGCATTTAACAAATTCTTTAGTTTTCTTGTTTTGTAGTCTACGTTTTACCAGGTAGGCAGAGAAACTCCTATAGACTATTCTTGTCAGTTAATACTTCATCTGTTAAAAGTAATGGAACATTTAGCCCCATTTTCATAAGAGCTACTACCTAATTTGGCTTTAAGGTTTGAGGTTGGGAGTACTTGGACATTTGTATCATAGTCCAAGCAGTAATTAAGGGAATCCTAAATTCAAGAAGGTGATCTTCCTTTGGAAAAGAGAAACCCAATACCTTATGACAGGAAGACATATTTAATGCAAGGAGAAAACTAAGACTTAGACATAGAGTTACTTTCCTTTTGCATATTTTACATTATTATATGTGTGTATCTGGTTATACTGTTAAGTTTCCCATGGTCTGTTTCCCCTACAAGTAGAACAGATAGCTCCCCTGTACATGTGTGGTAGTTCTGGCCAGTTCAGCCTTGACTTGGCTACTTTGAACTTGTAGTTGATCCCAAAGCTTTCACTGACAGTCTCTGTTAAACTTAAGTGTTATAGTCTTTGTTCTAGTAAAATCTCTGTAATGTTTAATAAAGACTAAATAAAAAGACTGTATAATTAAGATTGTATTTTATATGTTAATATTTTTTTCGGTCGTGGGTCTTGAACTCTGGGCCTGGCACTGTCCCTCAGCTTCTCAGCTCAAGGCAAGTGCTCTCCCACTTGAGCCACTTCTGGTTTTTTGGTGGTTAATTGGAGATGAGTTTCACGGACTTTCCTGCCCAGGCTGGCTTTGAACCGCAATCCTCAGATCTCAACCTCCTGAGTAGCTAGGACTACAGGCATGAGCCACTGGCACCCGGCTTATATGTTAAATTTTAATGAGTGCATTATGTTTTATATTTTGTTTCTTGTTATGTTTTTTAAGTTAGCATACATTAGATTTACAGAGGAGGATTTCATTGTGACATTTCTGCACATGTATGCAATGTATCCCAATCAACTTCTTTTTACTCCTTAAAACAATTTTAATGGGTTTGTTATATTTTCATACATGTAAATAAGCTAATTTGATTGTATTCATACTTATTCTTGCCCCTCTTCTGGTGGTATCCACTCCTGCAATAGAGCCTATTTACTTTCTTGTCAGTATTTTTTTTTTTTAGTGTGTATTAAATGCACTGAGGGGTTTTACCATGCTATTTCATAGTGCATAAATTTTGCTTAGAATAAACCATTGCTTTTCTTTTTTTCCTATCCCCCCCAATGTTGTTTAAATATTTTGAAATTATCTTTTAAAAATACTTTAAAATATATTTTAAATAATTTCTTTGTAATTTTAAAAAGCATCTCATTTTTGGTGCCAGTACTAGGGCTTGAATTCAAGGCCTGAACACTTTCCCTTAGCTATTTTGCGCAAAGCTAGAGCTCTATCACTTAAACCACAGCTTCACTTTTCATCCTTTTGGTGGTTAATGAGCTAGAATCTCATGGACTTCCTGCCCAGGCTGGCTTCAGTCAGAGCTTAGCCTCCTGAGTAGTTAAGGTTAAGGCATACGCTACTAGTGCCCAGCTTTCTTAAAAGACGTGGAAACTGACTACATATTTTTATGATTACAAAGGCAAAACAAAATCATACGAATTGGTGAAAATCCCTTTCTGAGATCCATTATCTATATAGATTACCAGTGACATCAGAAACAGCTTCGGGACACTTTGAGCTGTCCACGGAGAGCACTGATGCAGGAGTAACTTGCACAGACTTTTTAAGTTCTAACAACTTTTATGCTGCAATGCACTATTTACTCAGTCCATCTCCCCTTCTCCCAGTCAAACAGACCACAAGTCCTGAATACAGAAGGATGTTCCTATATTCACTATAGCAAAAATCACATGCAGAAAGAATAAAATACTGTATAGATTTTAGGTGGAAAAAATAGCATATAAGTTACATTAAATGATTGAAATTAATACATAACAAATATACTCTTAAGAATTATCTGCATTAAAATATAAATTAGAAATGCAATTATAAAACTTTACAGTGATAATGGTATAGAAAGTTAAAGGTCAGTTGGGTGCAAGTGACTCACACCTGTGATCCTAGCTCAGGTGAGGATTATGATTCCAAGCCAGCCCATACTCCAATTAAGCACCAAAAAGCCAGAAGTGGAGCTATGGCTCAACTAGTAGAGCACTAAATGAGTAAAATTGTTCAGGGACAGTGCCCAGGCCCTAGGTTCAAGCCCCAAGATCAACACCAAAAAATAAAAAAGTTTAAGCGCTTAAGTACGGAGTAATTACAATCAGAATTTTTTGGCATCCCATATTTTCCCTAATATATATGGGATATATATTTATATGTAAAATCACAAAGTCATTGATAATAATTGAAATAATTGGTTTCTTTAGGCCTTATTCCTTTTGGACAGAATATGTTTCTTGGATTATACAATGATTCTGTTTAATCAGTGTCTTCCAGCTAGTACTTTCACATGTCTAGATGATTAATACCCCAAAGTGTTTTTACTTGTACTAATTCTTGAGAGCTAATAAAGATTTTATATGAAATTTGATGATAACCTTTCAACTACTTAGAATTCTATGGTAGAAAAGCACTTTTTAAAATCCCACAAAAACATCCTTATTCCAATCACAGCTTGCAAACCTTCTTGTTTTTCCATGCTGTGATAGGACATTAACCAAGCATACAGAACCTAGTTTCCCATGGTGTGTCAGGCTTTTCTTTTAGGTCTGATGAGGCCTAAGGATAATTATGTGCTACAACCTACTGTGGCAGTGAAACTGAATTATCAGTTACATCTCAGTCTTCTCAACAAAAGAATGTAAGCCTCTCATTGATTTATTTCATCAGCTAAGTTTTAGACTAGAGCTTGTGTTTCTTATCTGGGTGCCTATAATCCTAACTACTCGAGGACTGAGATCTGAGGACCACAGTTTGAAACCAGCCCAGGAAAGAAAGTGCATGAGACTCTTCTCTCCAATAACTACCAAAAAGCTGGAAGTTGAGCTGTGGCTCAAGTAATAGAGCATAGGTGTGAGCAAAAAAGTCAGGTGCAGCGCCTCGACTCTGAGATCAAGATCCAGGACCAGCACCAAAACAAGAAGAAGAAAAAAAAGCTCCATAGGTAAGAAGGATATTGACAATTCACATGTTAGAAATATTCATAAATAGAATTAATGGTAACAAGTTATTAATATGAACATAGGATGTTAATGTAGAGTATGTTTTTATAATTATTTGAGATCTTAAACAGAGCCAGTACTTTTAATAATTTTAATATTTGCAATTGTTTTTATGTGCTCTGAAACAAGTATACTCCTTTGGTTGAAATTTACCTTCACAAATATTCATATTACAGTTGATTTTCCTGCCAGGTGCTGGTGATTCATGCCTATAATCCTAGCTATCCAGGAAGCTGAAATCTGAAGATTGTGCCTCCAAGACAATCCAATAAGAATGTCTGTGGGACTCATCTCCAGTTAATCACCCAAAAATCCACAAAAACAAAAAAAGCATGGACTTGTGGCTCAAGTGCTATCCTTTTTTTTTAAAATTTTTTTTATTATAAAGGTGACAGGCAGAGGGGTTACAGCTCCATAAGTAGTGTAGTGAGTACATTTCTTTTAGAAGTTACCTCCTCCCTCATTTTCTCCTGCTTTTCCCCCCAGCACTTCTCCCCCAGAATTGTAAAGTTCATTTCCAGCATAGTGTCTCCTGAATATCATTGTTGCATTGGTTCACCCTTTGTCCTACCGTTTCTGTGATTTCCCTTCCCTTCTGCAAATCAGATAGACATATAGTAGATAAAGGATACAGAAATTAAAAAGTAGCAATAGCATAAACCAAAGGAAAAAAGAAAAAAATAACTGTGCAAACAGTACACTATAAAAACCTTTTGTTTCTATTTCTTGGAGTTCATTTCCATAAGCATTTTATACGGTCATATGCACCTAGCTATTGAGCTATTGTGATTCTCTACTAAAAATATCCTAGACATACTCTGGTTATTCAGGTTATTATAAATGAGGGAAAATATGCAGCCTATGTTTCTTTGGGTCAAGTGCTGTCCATGAGCAAAAGAAGTAGTTCAGAGGCAATGTCCAGGCCATTAGTTTGAGCCCCCAAACTAGCACACACACACACACAATTTTTTTTTTGGGGGGGGGGGGGTCAGGTCGTGGGGCCTGAACTCTGTGCCTGGATGCTGTCCCTCTCAGCTCTTCGGCTCAAGGCTAGCGCTCCACCACTTGAGCCACAGCGCCACTTCTGGCTTTTTTCTTTTTGCTTATGTGGTGCTGAGGAATCGAACCCAGGGCTTCATGCATGCAAGGCAAGCGCTCTACCACTGACCCACTTTCCCAGACCCCCCCCCCCAATTTCTTTATGAGATAACTATTGTATTTCTTCATCACATTTTTCTACCACAACTGAAGTATTTTACTGCCCACAATAGAGGACATGTACTGTATCAAAAGTGACCTTTTAGATTGTATTATTAAAAGTACACATCAAGTGCTTATTAACTATTGTACATATGGGCTGGGAAGGTGGCTCAGTGGTAGAGTGCTTGCCTTGCATGCATGAGGCCCTGGGTTCAATTCCTCAGCACCACATATGCAGAAAAAAAACTATTGTACATAAAAATACCAAATAATAACTGTATAGAAAATGGCTACTGTAAAACTAGGAGATGATTTAGGTTCCAAAGGTAAGCAATCATCAAGGTGTTAGAAGATATTGCACAATGTTCCCACATAGGTACTAGTGGTTCATGCTTGTAATCCTAGCAACTCAGGAAACTGAAGGATCATGCTTGAAAGCCAGCAAGGGCAGAACATTGTGTGAGACTCCTCCAATTAACTAGCAAATATATCAGGCTATAAGCATGGTTCAAGTATACTAGTTATGAGAAAGAAAGCTAAATGAATGTAAGGCTCAGACTTCAAGTTCCAGTCTAGGCTGTGACTGGAAGAAATGATGCCTTTCATTAAAAAGTTACCATATAACGGCTTAACTTTTCTCTATTTCCACAAGTCTTACCATTAGCCTAGCAAGAAATATGTACAATCTGGAGGAACGCTGACTTCACCTCAGAGTAGATACTTCTTTTGTCAATATCTTTTCCTATGACCCTGGAATACTTCCCAATTCTCACACAACTTACCTAGACAGAGAAATTGTTGAACAATAAAATCACCACCAGTAAGAACAAACTATTACAATTCTGCTGCTAAGAATGCTTTCCTTATTTAAAATTCTAAAGTACAAAAGAAAGGACCTAGTATTGGTTCTGTTTAATTTTTGATAAATTTGTTGAAAACAAATCAGTATCAAATCTCTGCTCCAATTTGTGCCTTTTAAGTTTGTCTTCAACCCTGATAATTAAGGGCACAAATTAACCAAGTCAACATATGTACATTAAGTAAATTAGGGTTGTTTCTCTCCTTAAAGAAAAGCCTACAATAAGTTTAAGAAAATGAACTCCAAGTATTTTCAGCAAACAACAATTTAAATTCAAATCAGATACAGTGTATTTTAAAATAGTGATATTAAAGCACCGTTTTGATTCTATAAAAATGAGCTTTGAATATAGGATT